TATATATATATATATATATATAATTGTATATACAAAAAAATGTCAATTTTATATATAATTATATATAATTATATGTAAAATATTCCTCATTTTCCCTCTTCCTCTTTCCTCGGGCATAATTTTTATAGTTGCTGATAAGGTATGACATCATTTTATGACTTGAGACAAATTAAATATTAGGTGATATTTAAACAAATCGTATCAATTTTTTACCGATTCCTACGATTTTATATTTTAAATAAGTTTCTGGAATTTATTTTATATTTTTTATTTTAAATAACTCGTAACAGTTATTTTATTGAGTCATGATCGGCATTATACGTAAATTTAAAGAATTTCTGAAACACAGACTAATTTGCGGTAATGTCTTAAGTTAATTTATTAACTGAAAAATGAAATAACGATTAACTTAAGGTTAAATTAAAATGTTTAATATTTTTAGCCAAAGCTGTATTTAGCGCAAATTATTTCACAATATTAAGAAAATTTACATGTATCTCTACATAAAAAATATATACATAAAATATTTTATCAACCTTTATTTAACCTTAATTATTTAAATATGAATTATTAATATAAAAGAATAATGAAACTTGAGACATAATATTGGAATATCAAAAATATTCCACGCGAGTAATTATTAATTACGTTTAAAAGAACCATACAAGTAAAATATAGGATTGAACTATAAGTGTCAGAGATGCCACAAACCAAAACACGAAATGTACGACGATACCCGTTTGTCAAAATCATAAAAATATGAATAAAAATATGAATAATTGAATAAACCGTGAATATTTTTTTTTCATACGTGACAATTGAATATCCGAATAGCGAAGGGTGGTAGCGCGGCAAAAAGCGAGGGGAGCGAGTGGTGGTTGATACGTCATCGCTTCGGTATTCGCTCGGCGATCTTGGAGGGAGACGGAAGTGTGATACGAATCGCTCCCGGTGTCGCATTAATTTATAAAAATGAAATATCTACGAACGCGAATTACATAAGAACTAAGTGTGCTAATGGTTAAGAAATAAGTCAGAAGTTATTTAATCCTTAGTACACAAACATTCGATCATTCGTGTCTTAGCTTAATTTTTATCATTTTTACAAGTATATATATATAAATTATTAAACAATTTTTATAACATATATATATTTTGACATCTTTAGAAAGTATTTGTGCAATTATATATTCATAACAAATTGTAGATAAATTGTTGTAACTAAATATAGTTAACAAAATCAGAAAAATGCACTGTTTCATATAAAAATATAAAACTCTGAAACAAAAATGTTTAAAGAAAAAGTATTTCAGTATTTTAAAATTGATATTCCAAAAACTACAAGAAAAAAAATAGTTCAAGTGTCGGCTGTCTAAAAAGTTTAGTTATTGAATAACTTGAAAATGATGTTTTTTTAATATATGTGAATGACTACAAATTGAAAATATATTACATTTTCATTTTAAAACGATGAATTTTATTATTGCTATTGTGTTAAAAAAACTTATAATTTATTAGAAAAATATTATCTATAACATTACAAACAACGTAATATATAATTACGTTGTTTAAAACAAAGATATCAAAAATTGCGTTTATTAAGAATTAATATGTATATTATTTTAGGATTAAATTCTTTTTTTAATAATTCGCAAAATATTTTCGTAATACAATCGAGAATTGAAGTTTTAAAGAAAAAAAAATTTTGTTTCGTTGCAGAAAATGTACACACTTTCATTTGTGAACTTTGGAGTTATATCAGTTAAAGGATACGCACGAAGAAACACACAAAACTTGTTCTCTAGATGCCAAACTTTTTTTAGTAATAAAAAAAAGACCGATATTTGGCCAGGTGCTCTTAGTATTTAAAAATATTATAAAAAAAAAAGAAATGAGCAGGATACGAATGATCCAGATGTATACTAAGGTTAAAATAATAACTTTTAAATAACTTTCATCTTTTTTAATAAAATGCATTTTAAATATCTTTATTTTTTAAATTCGACTGAGCTCCGTATAAAATTAATAGTACATTATATTATATTAATATATAATATAATATAATGTATTATTAATTTTTGCAGTTTAATGATTTTACTTTCTAATTATTCATATTTTAATACTAGCGATAAACAGACATTTATTCGGCAATAATTAACAGAAAATTTGTACTGTTACACGCAAATTAGGTAGATATATGAGTCTTATTTTAATAAAAATTTAGGAATTTAATCGATATTTTAAACAATGTCAAACGGTTTATGAAACTAAAGAGGAACTATGTAATAATTAAGGCAATAATGAATATAATTAAGTAAAATTTATTTCTATAAAACTGAAAATTCAGAGTGGAAATTTTACAAAACCTTATTTTTTTTTTTAAATATAGCACGGTTGGCGCATAACCTTGATGTTTGTTTTTGCGCGGTGGTGGGACAAGTGGGTAGCTCATTATTTACATATGTCGACATCGTCGACGCGTTATCATTCAACTTCGAATGTTAATCTTCTTCGCAATCACGACAAGTGCTAGATAAGTGCTAGATGTATTTATTACGAGATGTATTTTACATTCGTTTATAGCACAGGATTATTAATTCGCATGATTGTTAATTATTCGTAAATGGATCGAGCCAATCATGTAAATCACGAATATATATATTATACAATATATATATTTTACGAACATATTTCATGCGATGTATTCGTTTAGAATTGAAACAATGGAGAAGAAGATTTATAATTGTTTTACAATAGTTATGGACGATAATTATTTTTCGTTAAGATAAAATTTTTCTTTTATTTAAATATGTAACTGTCTATTATTACGAAACGTATTTTAAATTGTATGTCCGATTAAATATTAATTTAAATTGTCAAGCAATTTTTGGCTCGATTTTGTTTAATATTTTTTGTTTTTATTTATTATACACATATATTTATACACATATATTTTGAACGATATCATATGAATTACAAGAAGAGCAAACTCTTTGCTATACACGATAGAGTTCCAGAAACCCCAGTACAATTTGCTAAATCGAGATTTTTTTCGTTTTTGAACTTTTCTTTTTCTTTGAATCTATAATATATCTCGGAACTCCTTAATTCTATCGACTTTTATATATCATGAACTTATTCATGAACTTATATCATGAACTTATTCTTTAATCAATTCTCTGTCGATTGAGGAAAAAATTAATTGAAATAAAAACCTTTATTAAAATTTTTAATTTAAAACA